AGCAATTTGTGGATATTTTCATTCTCAAATTAGGGTTTCAAAGATTGGGGATTTCAATCGATTTGTGGTCTAGTTAGGTTGGATGTTGTTCTCGTCTCATTCGTCTGGTCAGCTTTCAAATGTTCTACTGGAAGTCTTGGTAAAGTCGTCTGGAAAGTCTTCCAGGTGGACGACCCAGACGACTTAATATAAGTCGTCTAGGAAGTCTTCCAGGTGGACGACCCAGACGACTTAATATAAGTCTTCCAGACTTAGAATTAAAATGTTCCAATTTCGTTTCTTGTTTGCAGATGGCGAATCAGCATGAACCTCACTTCTTGAAGCCTCTGCTTCCTGGTGTCTGCAGTGGCGTGGTATACACACGCTCTCTATTTCTCCTCTGCTTATTTCCTTTGCTTAACTTCTCCTCTGTTGACTTGTAGACAATACCACTTGCTTTCTACTCAAAACACATAGAAGGGAACCAAGGAAAATGGACACTACGATCGGACGCTTCACACCAAACTTGGGAAGTTATACAAGAAGGAAGAAGACTCACCGATGGTTGGGAAGCCTTCGCCCAAGCACACTCCCTTTGCATCGGTGACATTCTCGTGTTCAAAAAGGAAGGATACATGGTATTTCATGTGACTATTTTCGGTCCTAGTTTTACTGAGATTCAGTATACACCTCCTCAAGGGGATGATGCTGCGGATGGTGCCTCAACTTCCTCGTCTCTTCCTAAATGATGGATGTTTGTCTTGCTATCGTCTTATTGTAATCTGCTTCTAGTGGACTTCTATGTTGTTGTTCCGTTGTTTCAATTTGTTTTTAAACCTATGACTTGTAATGGANTTGTAATCTGCTTCTAGTGGACTTCTATGTTGTTGTTCCGTTGTTTCAATTTGTTTTTAAACCTATGACTTGTAATGGATGATCAACTTTTATAACTACAACTCCTTTTGTCCTCTATGTACAAACCAATTTTAATTATTAGTCGTCTAAGAAGTCTAACACAAATTCTAACACAAATTCTTAAAACATACTCGAAAAGATTTAGTAGACGACTGATAGATTTGTCAGACGACTGATAGATTTGTCAGACGACTTAGTAGACGACTGATATTATGTCGTCTGGAAAGTCATCAGCCTGAAGATTTGTCAGACGAATTAATTATTAGTCGTCTAACCTCGTAAGTATTCTATTCAGACGACTTTCAACTAAGTCGTCCAGACTCCTTAGTTGAAAGTCGTCTGGTATAGTTATTCTTAAATGTGTTTATTTCTATATATAGTGGTTAGTTAATTTAGTCAACTTAGTTTAGGTTTTAGGGTTTAGGGTCTTGACAACTTATAATTAAGTCGTCTGGTAAATATATTTAATAAGGCAGACGACTTAGTTGCCTTATAGTATCAACAGACGACTTAATTATAAGTCGTCCAAACCCGATTTTACCGAATTACTTTTAAACCGAACCGGATTTTTTACCGGACATATATAAGAAGTTTTTTTTTTTTTACTCACTTTTCGCGAAATTCAGAAAACCGTAACGCCGTTTCTCTCAAAGGTGATTTCGAGGCGATTTCGATCCGATACAAGACCAAGGTAAATCGAAGGCTTCTCTTGCGGATTTATGGGTTTTTATTAGGATGGATGTTCTTTTCCTTTACTTTTACCGTTTTGTTTTGTGATTTCAGCGATTTCTGGAAATTTTTGTTTCAAATTAGGGTTTCAAAAATTGGGGATTTCAATCGATTTGTTGTTTAGTTAGGTTAGATGTAGTTTCCCTCTCATTCGTCTGGTCAGCTTTCAAATGTTCTAATCGCGCTTCTTTTTTCACGTCTATTTTTGCAGTTCTATAACCGCTATGTCGAAGGCGAGTACATCTTCTCCGAATTTTCAGGTCAGCTTTCAAATGTTCTACTGGAAGTCTTTGTAGACTTATAATTAAGTCGTTTGGAAAGTCTTCCAGACTTATAATTAAAATGTTATACTGGATGGTTGTGTGTTTGAGATGGTTTTCTTTGATTTTTTTTGCAGAATATTCCCAAACTCCCCCGTAGGATACATACACTAGGGCAAGAGCCTATCGCTCAGCATAGCATTACGTATCATCCTCAGACGAGGTTGTATGCTGCTCTAAGGGAAGCTCTTAAGGATAAAGAATATGAAGAGCTGAAGGAGTCTAACTTGGGAGTTTTCATCAAGTTTCAAGAGCTCGATTTTGAATGGGCTTCAAGGCTGGTTCACTACATACTCACTTACCAGCTCGACATAAAGAAGAAGTATGAGCTGTGGAGTCTTGCTGGTCCAGAACATTTGAGGTTTTCACTGCTCGAGTTTGAATACATCACTGGTCTAAACTGCGAGTATATTCCGGACCTTGAGAGACCAAACTGTCCTGTTACAAAGGAGTTGGTTGCTTTCTGGGAGTTGTTGGGAGTTAATGTCGAAGCTGGGCCAACTACTGATCAGATAATAGAAGCATTTGAGAGATGCGGAAACTGGTCTTCGGATGATCGCAAGCGGCTCGGGTACCTTGCCATCTTGGCTGGATACATTGAAGGGAGGAAGTTTTCATCCCATACACGGGCTTCTCTGGCTAGGCTAGTGATGGATCTAGAACGGTTTGAGAATTATCCATGGGGGAGAGTCGCGTTTAAGGTGTTGATGGACTCTGTGAAGGGCAAAGATCTATCTGGTTGTTACACCATTGATGGGTTTGTACAAGTTCTCCAGGTCTGGGTGTACACAGCTTTGCCGGAATTGGGTGCTAATTA